CTTGGTTTTGCAATTTCTCCCGGGGGGCCCCCCCCCCCCAGCGTCAAAATGCTTTTCTAAGAGCCGTAAAAATATAGCCAAAATCTGTATTGCGCCACTCCCCCCTTGCTTTGAGACCCGAGTTACGCCACTGGTAATTAATAGTAATAGTAATGGAGTGATAATATATAGTTCAGAAGATGCACAGATAACTAAAAATATCAGCCGTTAAAAAAACTTACAAGGCTGAAAGGACGACTAGCTAGGAATAAAATACAGAAGAGCAATCATCATTATCTGATGAGATGATAAAGTGAGTTGATGTTCTATTCGTTCTATCTATAATTGATCATGATTTTTGCTGTAGAAATAAACAGATAGTTATTTGAAAATAAAGAATTAGTTTATGAAAAAGAGAATATTAGCAAGCACGGTCATCTATAATCTGGCAGCGACAAATTTCCTTGAAATAACATNAGGAATTCTCTTAGAAATTAGATGATCAACTCGATATTTCAAACTTTTTTGTAGTGATGCAACTGGATACATTCACTATATCTCTCCTCGAATGGCAGTTTAAGGGTAAGTGCAAAAACTTTGTCCCATTCATGAGGACTGGAATAACTTTAGAAAAACGTGAGAGTTAGACCTTTTGATGTGGTTTCACGCGTCTTCGAGAAAACACGGCTCTTAACGAGCTCAGAGCGCAACACGTAAAATTGAACTCCCGCTATTCGGAAAAAATGATACAAAATGTGATTCAATAATACGTAGCTTTGAGCAGTTTTGTTTAATTTATTTTCGTGGATCAAAGACCAGTTGAAGTCTATTGGACGCTTATTATCAATCTAGAGTCTCTTTTCTCTTGTATATTGCTAATCAATAGTATTGCCGTTATTAATAAATATTTGCATGTCTTATTTACATGTTTTCTTCACGATATATTTGCCAACACGTATCCCAGCGAGCAAATATTCAAGTGAGTAACTATAATCTATAGATCCTTTCCTACAGATCTAAGCGCTATTCTCAATAATTGCTGCTTTCTGGCCAGCGACTTTCTCGAATGAGTAGAGGGTAGTATTCATGAGTGATAAAACGATAGCATTTCTGACCTGAACATAATTTTTCCACCGTGAATAGGCATTTTTGTCACCGATCGATTTCTTGTCTCACCCTCAATATAGAGTATGAACAACAGGATAAATTCTATCATTTTTTTGTTTTAAATTTATTACCAAGAAGATTTATTAATCGATCTGTTTTTATGTCATCCTTTTGAATAAAATTAATTCCTATCAAAATTTTAATTAAGATAGAAAAATTTATAAATTTTCTCAATTTAAATATCAAATTTGTTTTATGAAAAATAGACATAGCTGCAATAGGTTTTATATATTACTTATATATTTCGTTTTATTTATTTAGTCTTATAGAATTCTTCAAATATTGTTAAACAATTATTGTCAGAATCAAAAAGTAGCATGTGTTTAGCACTTTTTAGCTAGTTTTGTTGTGAATATTGCTAAGATGCTTATTTTAATTCAAATAAGAAGAATATTTTCAACTATAAATCATATGAAAAAAAAGTTCATAAAGAAAAACTGTTGTTGAATAGATGATTTAATTTTCTACATATTTTTTATTTATTATTAAGAAAAAATTCGATCAATTATTTGTCTTTATTCAAGTTACCACAAATATTTTTAAATGAGAAATATTTTTTTGTTCTTTTTGATTTTCAATCAAAACCAATTGTCTATTTTTTTATATTTATTTACAAATAAAATTTCCATAAAATAATCTTTCTTAATTGAATACAATGAGAACTTTTCCATGAATAAAATAAGAAAAAAGTAAATTTTGTTTTGATAAATAGTTCATATTGCAAAAGATCGAAATAGATCTTAAGAAGAAAGACACGAGAAGAAAAGAAAAGAATTGTTCTGATCAGAGTAAAAAATCTATTGGTAGAATATAAAAAGTGTCGACCCTTAAGAATGGTCGGTCGAGTCAGAGTTCGATAATAATTGTGGACATTACACATATAACGACGACGACGCAACATATTTTAGAGAACACAGGAAAGAAACATAGGTCAACAAACGGGCACATATATACCAAATTCAACAAACCTTCTTTTGACGTCAGAGAGAGAATCGGTCATAAACATTTCATAATTCTTCTTCTTCTTCTTTTCTTTCTATCGGTCGAGCTGAATACAAAGAAAGAAAGAAAAAAGAAGGGCGACCGATGGACGTTATATATATCGGCCATCGCAACGGGTACAATTGTTGCAGCTAAGGGAACACCAACTACTTTTTCTCTTTTTTCTTTTTTTTCTGTCTCTCTCTCTCTCTCTCTTGTCGAGGGCAGTGAACGATGCTCGTCCAACAACAACATTACGAAAATAATACGTAACTGCGTCGTTGAACGTAGTTAGTGTGAATGATGCATCCGCATTATGGATTTGTAGGTTCAACATATGTTGCAAATAATGTTGGAATAAAACAAGTTCAACAAATCTATGGAAATTCAATTCATCATCAACAAGTACCATTCTATTCTCAACATTCAAATTATCCATCAATTCATTCACATCAACAAAGAAATCAACATTATTCATATCAACAACAACAGCAACAACAACAACAGCAACAACAACAGCAGCAACAGCAACAACAACAGCAGCAACAATTAAATAATGTTGATTGTAAGTATTTATCAAAAAGATCTTTCCTATAAGGAAAGGTATAAGAAAGATTTAGTTTTTATTCGTTCTAATAAAAACACGAGTAAAATAACGAGAAAAAAAGTTTTCTTTCTCGTTCGTTGTTGTTTTGCACTTTGCACTTTATATTAACAAGAGAAAAACAAGACAATTTACTTGTCTACATAGTCATTTTCTTTTTATAAAAAAGGAAAGAAAAGAAAAAAAGTTTTGAAAAAATGTTTAATAGTTCGACAAATTTTCCAACATCAACATTAAAATGTTTATTAGAAAATACTGAATTGGCTGATCTTTTATTTAAAAATTTTCCTCTTTTCGAAGATGACAATCATCGTATGATTTAGATTTTTGTTTAATACAAAACAAAAAAACAACGAAGAATTTGTTTTTTCCTTTTTCTTTAGTAAAATCGGATAAACAATTAATATCAAATGATTTGGCATCAAAAGTCGCATGGAATTCATCGGCATTTCTTGGTCCAAATTTATGGGATAAAGATCAATTATATAGTGCAAATAATGGCCCATCATCATCATCAACAGGAGCAACAACAACATCATTACATAATGAAAAAAATCTTAATTCAACAAATGGATCAAATTTTAAAGTTGAAAATATTGATATTGATGAACTTCTTTGTGAAAATAATTTAAATTTAAATGATATTGAATCATTTTCAAATCATTTTGAGCATGTTGAACAAACAACATCAAATTCACCAAATCAAAATCAAGAGACACTTATTCTTCATTCACCAATGCAAGCAGCACCAGCTAAATCACCTTTAGATGATTCAATTAGTATGTTTCTATTTTGCTTTATTTTCTCAAAAATTGTTTTATTATTATTAAATAATAGGTCATCAATCATCAAGTTCATCAAGAAAATATTCTCAAGACGAAACATTGTCAAAAAGTGGAAATACAAAACAATATAAAAAATCGCGAAAACTTCAACATCAATCCAAAGTTTGTTTTGTTTCATTTTATTGTTTTTTGTAATTTGAATTACTTTTCAATTTTTGTTTTCTTTTAGCAGTTTGTTCCAGATGAATTAAAAGATGAAAAATATTGGGCAAGACGAAGAAAAAATAATTTAGCTGCGAAAAGATCACGTGATGCTCGACGAATGAAAGAAAATCAAATTGCATTACGAGCTGATTTTTTAGAAAGAGAAAGTGATCAATTAAAAAAACAAGTTGAAGATTTAAAAAGAGAAAATCAAAAACTTAAAATGAAATTACTTCAATATGAATCTTCAATTAAACAGTGACGATTTTCTTTTCTTTTTGCTTTTTCTTTTCTTTTTCTTTTTTTCTTTTCTTTATTTGTATATCTTGTATTAAACATCATTTTATTTACAAAAAAAAAAAAAAGAATCTTAGTAGAAACGAATGTCATTTCAATAGATTTGACAAAAAAGAGCAAACAAAATTAAAATATGAAGCATTGATCGACTAAACAATTTTAATTTCATATTGAATATTGTCTTTTTCTGTTTTTTTTTGTTTTGTTCTTCTATCGATCATCATTTGAAACAAATCCATTTAATAAATTTTCATGAGAATTTAAACGATCCATATATAAAGATGAACCCATTCCATACTTAAATATATATATATATATAATAATTAAAAATATGTCAAATTTTTGATTTCTTCAAGATTAAATTATTTCTATTTACTTCAGATAAGATTTAGTTTTTCTAGTTTTTATTGTTTTTTTTAAACAAAAATATCGATTAATAACTGAACTTTTAGATTAGAACTATTTGAATATTTTTTTTATCGTAGAAATAATTTTTTTTTTCCTTTCTAAATTAAATCTTAGAAGAAAGTTTTTCGAACACTGAAAGATTCGATCGCAGTAATAGATGATATTTTTTTCTTAATTAAATTTATTAGATTTTGAAAATGTTATTCAAGAATAATTTAACAAAAAACAGTATATCATTTTTTCTTTTTCTTTCTCATTCAAACTCATATTACTTATTTAATGTATAAATGATAAAATATTTACTTGTGTTCTATGATCAATACTTATTCGTTCTCGTTTTATATTTGATCTATTATTTGTATTTGAATTTGAATTAATTGTTTGTGGATGAGGTGGTGCAACTCTGGTAGAAAAAAATTTTAAATATTAATTTCTTTTCTTATGAATAAACAAACCTTGGTGGTGGTTGCTCATCATCTTCATCGGAAGATAATGTTATTACTGAAACAGGACGTTGTCGATGATTTATTGGAGTATTTTGATTTAAATTAAATTGAAATGTTTGTTGAGGAAAATCATTTGTTGTTAAACGACGATTAAATAAACCAACAAATGATGGAGGAATTAATAGTTGACTCCATGTTGGATTCTTTAATAAAAGTAAATTATTATCTTCTCCTTTTCTTCTATGTCTAACTTACATTTATTAAAAATGGACGATCAGTTGGTGCAACAGGTACAAATAATGGTGTGCCAACTAATTGATATATATATATAAATGGTGAAAACAATGAATTAATGGATTCTTTTGTATTACCTTGATATGGTGGAATAAAATAAGCTGCTGGTGGAAGTGGATATGATACTAAAATTTCATTTGCTGGTTGACGAATCTTTAAAAGAAAAATTCATTTAATAAAAAAAAGACAAGCAATAGATTCGTAAAAATAAAAATACTTGAGTTTGAAAATGATTAAAAGTAAAATTATTTGGTTTTTTACAAACTTCCATCATTTGAACACTTTGTCTGACACTAAAATAAAATATTTTTTGTTAAATTGAAAAAAATAAAAATAAAAATGAACTTGTTGCAATTGGTATAATCAACAAGATGATCCATAGTTATAAATGGATGATTAAGTGCTTGATTAGGTGTTATTCTTAATGTTTGATCCAAATGAATCATTTTTTTTAAAAGATCAACAAAAAAAATTCTATCTAATTTTTCTGCTTGTAATTGATTTGGTGGCAAATCTTGTTTCAAATGAATATGTTGAATATCATCAATGTTTTTAAAAATAAATTTTCTTGCTTCTTTTGATTTAATTCCTGTTTCTCTTTCATATTGTTCAGGTGTTTTCAATTTCCATTGATAATTAATAAATTGAAAAAATCTCGAAGTTTTTTGTCCTTGTTCAAGAATATTTTGATTTGGTAAACCTTGTGTTTGTGATATATATCTTATTTGATCATATTCGGATGATCCAGGATAAAGTGGCCAACCAAGAAATAATTCCGCCATAACACAACCAAGTGACCACATATCAATAGATTCATTAAATGGTAAACCAAGAAGTATTTCAATTGCACGATAATAACGTGATTGAAGATATGTTGATTGAATTGCTTTTTCAACAGGTGATGCACTACCAAAATCAATTAATTTAACTTTAAATGGTTGTCGACGTGGATCTAATAACATTATATTTTCTGGTTTTGTATCAGCATGAATAAGACCTAATTCTTTTAATTTTGATAAAGCAACACAAACTTGTTGAATTATTGGACGAATTGATTTTAATGGAAGCGGGGCAAATTTTTGTTGTTTTAAATAATCATAAAGATTTTGTTCAAGCATTTCAAAAACAAGACATGTATGATTTTTATGTGTAAATACTTCATATGCACGAACTAAATTATATTGATCAGCATTTTCTTGTCCAAGACGTGATAATATTGAAACTTCGATTTGTCCTTGACGAGCGTAAGACGGATGATTTTTTAATATTTTAATAGCAACAACTTCATTTGTTCCTTTTTTCCAACATTTAACAACTTGCCCAAAAGTTCCTCGTCCTAAATATTCTAAAACTTCATAAGAATTTGTCATTGAATATAAAACTTCATTTTGTACTAATTGATAATCTCCGTCATTCGAATTATTTGTTGTTGTTGTTGTTGTTGTTGCTGCCTTAACATTTATTGTTTCACAATGTTTTCGTTTTTTATTATTTGAATTTATATTTGTGTTTGTATTAGCATTTGAGTTTGTAGTTGTATTTGAGTTAGAATTTGTATTTGTATTCGATGGTGCTTGATCATCAAGTACAAGATGATGATGTATATGATGATGATGAACATGTGTATGTGTTGACGATGAATTTTCTCTTTTCATTGTATTATCTAAACGAGTTTTTTTAGTTTGTAAATAAATATTTGAATTTGAATTTGAGTTTGAATTCGAATCTGATTGATCACACAACCAATTTCCACTGAACATTTTCAATCCATATAAATAAATAAATAATCAAACGAAGAAGAAGACGACGACGTGATTGACATCATCATGTTCGATTTGTATATAGAATAGAAAAGAGACAGAGAATAAAAATTAATAAGTGACATCTATATGAACTTTGTATATATATATATTATTTATCTTTCGCGATAGATTTATATTTTTTACATAGACACTTTTTTATTGGTTGAAAATAGAAAATAAAAAAATTGTCATAAATCGTACTTCGTGTTTGTTATTTATTTTTTATTTTGGTTTCTCATAGATATTAAATAGAAGAAAAAAAAATGGAAGGTGGAACTCATGTTGGAAATAAAACAGATTATGAGTTTTATACAGTGGAAGTGGGTGATACAACATTTCGTGTATTACGTCGTTATGTTAATCTTCGTCCCATTGGAAGTGGTGCACAAGGTTTTGTTTGTGCTGCTTTAGATTTAATAACACAAACAAATGTTGCTATTAAAAAATTATCAAGACCATTTCAAAATGTAACACATGCTAAAAGAGCTTTTAGAGAATTTTCAATTATGAAATTAGTTAATCATAAAAATATTATTTCATTATTGAATGCATTCACTCCATCGTCAACAATAGATGAATTTAATGATGTTTATATTATTATGGAATTAATGGATGCAAATCTTTGTCAAGTTATTCAAATGGATTTAGATCATGAAAGAATATCTTATCTTCTTTATCAAATGTTATGTGGAATAAAACATCTTCATTCAGCTGGAATTATACATAGAGATTTAAAACCTTCAAATATTGTTGTTAGATCTGATTGTACATTAAAAATTCTTGATTTTGGCTTAGCTCGAACTGCTGGAACTTCATTTATGATGACTCCCTATGTTGTTACTAGATATTATAGAGCACCTGAAGTTATTCTTGGAATGGGCTATAAAGAAAATGGTTAACACCGTTTCATTAGTGTATAAATAATATTTTATTTTATTTATTTTCTAGTTGATATTTGGTCAGTTGGTTGTATTTTTGGGGAAATGATTCGTGGTCAAGTTATATTTCCTGGATCAGATCGTATGTTTCTTATTTAGGTTTTTTTCTCTTAAAAATAAAATCTCTCATAAAAGATATTGATCAATGGAATAAAATAATTGAACAATTAGGAACACCACCAAGAGAATTTTTATGTCGTTTACAACCAACAGTTAGAAACTATGTCGAAAATCGACCTAAGTATGCAGGCTATTCACTTGATAGATTATTTCCTGATCAATTATTTCCACCGGATTCTGAACAAAGTAAATTAACAGGTTTGCCTCTTTGTATTTATTTTATTAAATAAATAATGAATAATTTGATTAATAAAATAGCATCGTTGGCTCGTGATCTTCTTGGTCGAATGTTAATTGTTGACCCTGAAAAACGAATGTCTGTTGATGAAGCACTCAATCATCCATATATTAATGTTTGGTATGAAGATTCAGAAGTTAATGCTGTAAGGTTTTCTTATTTTAATTAAAAATCTAAATAAAATAGAATTTGATTTAATTTAGGCTTCACCAGGTAAATATAATCATTTAGTCGATGAAAGAGAATATACAGTTGAACAATGGAAAGAATTAATTTTCCACGAAGTTATTCAATATGAATTAGATCAAATAAAAAGATATTCGAATGGAGATAAACAATCAATTGATCAACCTATGGAATAAAAACTTGTTTTTTGTTTTTTATTTGAAAACTAAATATATACATATATATATATAAATAATATTTACAGATAAAAAAATTTTCATGTTCTATTCTTTGTTCGATGTTCTTTTTTCTTTTTCTTTTTCTTTCTTTTGTTTTTGTGTTGGTGATAATTAATACTATGTTTAACAAGAAAAAAAAAGTATTTTATTCAAAATCTAATTAATTTAAAATAAATGATTTTCATTCAAATGCTATTTCATTGATATATCAAAACGATTTTATTCTTCAATCGTTTCAAATAAAAATTTATAATAATTATGGGTGTGGGTTTGGGTGTGAGTGTAGGGTGTAGGGCGTGATTTCAGGGAAGAAGTGTGACAACACCCACAGTCACACCCTCACCCCAAAAATTACATAGACTACTGTAGGTCAGTTTCTTGAAAAAATGCTAAAAGATTCATAGAGTAGTAGAAAAACTTTCGCAAAAGTCTTTTTCGTTTTTTCTCGATTTACAGCTTCTGGAAAGCGCATCCAAAAGTTCTCTTTTTTGACTCTATCAACATATTGATATGTTATTTTGTTTGAAAAAACATGCCAAGATGCAGTGGATGACGTTGTCCTTTTCTTCAATTAAGTCCTATTTAGGTCCAATATACGGTCAACTACATTTTTTCAATGTTTTAACTAGTGATCTCTTTTTTACGCTTAAAAAGCGCTATTTAGAAAAAAGAGCAAAGTCATCCACTGCGTCTTGACCTGCTCTTTTAAACAAAACAAAAAATATCCATATGTTGAACGAACCAAAACAGATAAATTTTGAATCTCAAAAGAGCTATTTTTGACCCTTATTCGATCTATATCTCCCTTAAATTTCATGATTTGGAGCTGAAAAGTTTATTATAGACTCTCCACTATAGCCCCAACATATCCTCCGAATTTCAGCCCATTTGAATATTCCTAGGCAGAAATCGATTTTTGAGGGGGAGGCCTTAATATCGACATTCTTAAAGCATTCTGACAACATGATAGTTGAAATATGTTAACTGACATTTATTTTCACTTGGTAACTCACAAGGATGTGAATATGGGTGTAGGTTCACATGCATGTGTGGAAGAAGAGAACATGGATATCAACATGTCCACTAGAGCCCGTTGAATCGACGAACTCTAGTCTACACATTAAGTTACTTACTTCTTGATAAATGATAAAATCAGAAATAGTATACGTATAAAGTGATTGTTATTTGCAACGAATAATAATCAAACAATGAAATCTGAATGTAATCATCTGGAATAACAGTGATGAATGGCTGTATAATTGATTTACATAAAAAAAATCAACTCATTCAATAATATGTTCGTTATTAACTATTTTTTTTCATAGCGAATTCGTTGTCATGTTAAATCAATGTGGGTCAAATAATTATTTATACCATTCAAACTGCTCAAAAACCGACGGTTAACCGCGACATATGAGCAGCATTTAAGTGACACTATCGATTAAGGAAAACAATATATGCTTTTTTTTATTTAGAATTCTTTTTTTTTTGTTAATGTAGATTTTAATGTTTTTCTATTTTGGCAGTTTAAATTACTGTTTAATATTTTTAACGATAACGTTTTTGTAATTATGTTCTATTTAATCGTCTTTTATCATAATTATGGTTCCCGATTGTTTTAGAAACGTGGAAGGGGCTAAAAATTCGGCAGAAACTCTGAAAATTCTGGCAGAAAGTATTTTCTTTGACTTTTTGATAGAAACGGGGCCAAAGTAGCTACAATCATCGATTTTCTGCGAGATTTTGTTGACAGAAACTTTTAGTTTTCAATTTTTTTCAGGAGAATGGCGACCAGTATTTGAAAACGGCGTTTCTTCCAGAATTTACTATGTGATTTTCTAAACTTTACCAGAATGTATCAAAGTTTTTCGCAGAACGTAGCGCAAATTTTCAAATTTTTGGGGAACTAGTCCACCACGCCGTTCCTCTTATAGGGAAGCCTGATTATAATTTTTTTTGTAAGTGTTTTTGGGCGCGTTGTGCCGTGTGCGTGCCAAGTACACGACACTCGTACCTATTGACTTGGGTCGATATTCAATGAAATATTTCTGTTCGTCTTGAAAAATAAGCAGAAAAGAATGAAAATTATTTTAGTAATAGATCTTTAATGTAGCATTGTAATTGAACCATTATGAATGAAAACAAAAGAATGAATCCTTATGTTTTACTTTTAAGTGACAAATGATGCAAAAGTTTTGAATCTGCAGAACTATTTTCGTGTTTATCTATAGTATGAATGATCAGTTTCATTTTTCTTTCAAGATGACGTTTAATGGTGTTTCTCAATAGTTTACTTGGCTGCGTTGCAAAAATTATTCAAGAAAGTATCCATACTTTTCTATGATATTATCATTATCATCAGCAATCGAATTAAACTCAACAATGAAGAAATTAATTGAGTCTCGACAGTATAAACAAGCTCGTTTTTTTTTGATCGACAGTTTCCAATGTGTACTGATGCGACATTTACTTTAGCTTTAAAAGCATGTGCAACATGAGAAGATCATAAATGTGGTGTCCGAATTCATCAACAATTATCATTAAAATCACTGAAGGATCCATTTCTTCAGACATCATTAATTCATTTCTACAGCAAATAATTTTATTAAAGTTTATCATATCCGTAAATATTAATGGAGAATTTTTCATATTAACCAACATTTAGATGATAACGATCATTTCTAATCAAATAAAATTTTTGATTTAGAAACGATAACATAAGATTAGTTTTGTTTGTTTTTCTTATGTTTCTAGTGCTATGTCATGACGTCGATCAAGCTCAAAAAATCTTTTCGACTATTAAAAAAAAACAGTTTATATGTATGGTGCGATGTTCAAAGGTAAAAAAAAGAATTTCTTTTCTTTTTGTTAAAATTATTGTAAGAAAGATTCATTGATTAATAGGTTAAATTTCGAATAATGCGGCAGAAAAAGTTATCGAATTATTTGAGAAAATACCAGCCGAAATAGATGAAGTAATAATTACAATATTATTTAATGCATGTGTCAAACTTTGTAATAGTCAAGTAATTAGAATTAGAAAAGATACACTCAATCGTTTACCAATTTCTTTTCTTCAAAATCAAAATTAGTGAATTCAGCCATTGACATGTTAATGAAGTTTGGTGATGTTAATCAAGCTGAAGTTCTTTTTAAAAAAATTCAAAAAAAAACTTTAGTTACTTATGGAGCAATTATGCAAGGTTATTGAAAGAATGAATATAAATTCAGTATAAAACTTTATTTTTAGGTTACGTTACGAATAATTTATTTGATAATGCATTAGATTTTTTCGAAAAAGTTCCTTTAAGATCCAATGAAGTTTTATATGCAATTGTATACAATGCATGTGCTTCATTATCGAATGAAAAAGGCATTAGATTGAGAAAGACATTTTTTCATGAAATGCCAAAGGCATTTCTTCATGATATTGTTTTAGTTCACTCAGCAATTCATATTTTCATGAAATTTGGCGAGGTAGAAACTGCTGAATATGTTTTCTCACAAATTAAACAACGAAATTCGTATACTTATGGAGTGATGATCAATGTTTATAAAATCAATGAGGAACCACATAAATGTTTATCGATTTTCAAACAAATGAAAACAGAAAATTTGACAATAAATGAACCTATAGCGATATCTTTAATTGAAGCATGTCCTCGAATAGGTATACGTTCAATTTCTCAAAATATTCTTCGTCAAATTTCTCATTCACACTCCAATACTTATATAGACAATTCTTTGATCGATATGTGGGTAAAATTTATTTCTTTTGTATTTATTTAATTTATTCATTAACTATGATTCCTGCAACAGGGTAAACCAGATGATATTAATAAAGCCGAACAAATATTTCACTCGATTTCTCAGCCTGAAATTATTAGCTACAATTCGATGAGTAAATAAATAATGATTATATCTATATCATATGATTTTCTTTTCTTATGATATTGATTATTTTTTATGTAGTAAATTCTTATGCACGACATGGAATGGGCTATGAAGCAATTGATTTATACGATAAAATATCGGAGAACATTCGTGATAAAATTTCACATATTTGTGGTTTGAATGCTTGTTCTCATTCAGGTCTTATTAATCAAGCTCAATCTATAGTCAATAAAATTGAAAAGAAAACAGAAGATATTATTGTTACAATGATTCGTTTATTGATTATAAATAGATAATAATGTCTGATTAAAATGATTTATTTGCAAACAATTGAGATCGATTGTCTTAGTCGTTTGTATATGTTTGATGAAACTCAAACAGTAGTCGATGATTATGAAAAATCCAATTCGCCTTCTTTGGTTATGCATAGTAAGAAAATTATTTATTAAATACAAATCATTGATTCATTGACAAGATTGTCCTTAATTTATATTTGTATTTTTGCAGCAGCCATGTTGTCAGGTGCTCGAAATTATCATCATTCTTCTCTTTCACAAAAATGATATGATCGTATGAGATCTTTATTTCTTGATCAACATTCTGATTTGATTTCTGCTGCTATATTATTATCAAATACGTATGCATCTTTGGGATATGATGAACAAGTAGAAGCAATACGAGTCAATCGAATAAAACGATTTGGTAACAATGTTAAATTTGGAATATCATGTACTGAAGTTAATGGACAACTTGTGGTAAAAACAAAAAAACATTTTATTAATCTACAATTTGTATGTGAAAAATTCTTATTTTGTTTTTGTGTCAGTGTTTTAAAGCTCATGATCGCTCTCGTCCTAAATCAGCTGAAATCTATGCTGAACTTGATCGTTTATCAAATGAGCTAAAAGAATATGGCCATGAATATGATTCAAGTTAGATCACGCGTCCACTTAAATATGATGAACCTATCGAGTCTGTATTATGTGGTTATAGTGAGAAACTTGCTATAGCATTCAATTTTATTCAAAATCCTCGACCAACATTTATTCAAATAACAAAAAATCTTCATGTCTGTGGCGATTGCCGCAAGTGATAACGATATTTCTATATTTTCTCTTGTTATTGATTTTTATTTTATTAGATCATACAACAAAACTTATTGCGAAGATTCGACAATATAAAATCGTAGTACGCGACGCAAATCGTATGTTCATCATTTCTATAGGAATGGACTATGTTCTTGTCAAGATTATTCTTGAGTTTATTTTTCGACTGTTGTAATCGTTGAAAAGAACTATAAAATTGAATTCTATTCATCGAATATTTTTTCTATTCCTTTTATTGATGATATCGTCGAGAACTCTGATATAAACTGTGATAACTACACGTTGAATTGATAAATTTTAAAAATACTTCTTTTGAAACAATATCAAAGCATTTTAAAAATAATCAATCAATAGAATAATATCATAATCAAGCTTTTATTATCTTTTATCTTAATAATATCTTGCTTTTGGCTTTAATATCGATGGAAATACTTGATCTTTTCCTAATAGATATGTTTATTTGATCCTATGTTTTCATCATTTGAAATCGGCCTTTTTTTCTACGAATGTGCATGAAAAATTCTGTATAGTCGATTTAGTCTCGACAAAAACTTTGTGAATAAAAATAAGATTCGTACATTGACACAACCAAATTTGTCTTCATTCTTGATCAACTGTTAAGAAAAATGTTTTGTATTTCAATGAGTCAACAATAAAAACTCAATGATTCGATTCACTTCTGCTTTTCTGTAACCTATTTAGAGTTTAAAAACTTAATTCTAAAAGATGATAAGTATTGAAAAACGATAACATGAAACCATTATTTGCTTAATAGATACCAAAGATGATCAATGACTTGTGCTTCTGCTTATTCGAAGAATAAATAGATTTTATCGTTGTGAACATTTTTGATTGATCATATTCGGAATAAAATAAATTGATTAGTTTAGTTTACTTTCTCTATGTGATTGTTGTTCGTCAATGACAGGATAAGTTTTCCTTAAGACAAACTTGAAATATTGACATAAGTATACCAGTATTGATATCAACTTAAAATGAATGAGTCAGACCAAAATATCCAATTGATATAGATCGATACAATACTATAAATATTGAAAGATAGTTGCATTTGTAGAGTAAGTATTGACGCCCATTCGAAAGATTTGACTCGAAAATGTTTAGCAATCTGAATAGATTCAATGACAGAATAGAATAGATGCGGATCAACTTGGAATTTTGGTATGAATCAATAGGAGGAACTCGATCGAAGCATAACTTTGTCAGGATTACTATTGATTGACAACAATAATCAAATTGAATTAATTTTATTGTTGTCAATAAGATCTCGATTGTCAATGTTTTTTAATTGTTTCTTGTTGAAAACAAGAGAAAAATATTTTTTTATTCTTCTTATTTCAATTGTTGCAGAATATTTGAAAAGCAAACCATTGCGTATCTTAATTTTATTTCAAGGAATTGACTGATAATTTTTTGATCGATGCCAAAACAATAGACAGAAAATATTTTGTATTTAACTCGATCCGATTAGAAAAAAAGAAGCTACTTCATCGAAAAACTTCATTAATCTTATAATCTTATAGTTCCAGCTCGTTCCTATAAATTTCATCTCGTTCGATTCAACTGTTTCTCTAGATTAATAATTCATCACATATAGGTAGATTTTATTAAGATTCTCAATAGACTTAAAATTATTCATTTTCATGATCGATTTATATGTCATTTGATATAAAATTCAATTCGATAATGAAACTTTTTCGATCGATTGAAACTAATACATCAAGAAATAATGATATTATATATATATATATTCTAAATGGTCTCGAAATAAGCTCTTTGAAAGAATACTCGAAGATCATACGGTGATTTCAGCAGCATTGATAGTTAATATGCATAGTTTTAAAAGAATCTTCACATTAATCAAGAAATATACTATCGTCTGTCACTCTAGAGATGATATATTATAGAAACTTTAACTAAAGTTAATTATACTATAGATAATTATACGTGCCAAAGATCGAAAAAGTTTATTATTTAGAAATTTCTCGATATAAACTAAAGCAATATTCGATTTTTATGATTCAGAACGTTATCAATTCATCAGTGATGAATTTTCGGCCAATTTACTACCTGCAGTGCACACCTGTATGGTTTATTGATCAAATATTCAGGATTCAGTTCTTAAATATAAAGTGATTACGTTTAGATAATTTCCATAATCTATCGTTATCGATATTACCTATAAATATTCGCTTATTCCTTGTTACTGATAGGTTGCATAAAAAGTGCGAGGAGACAGAGGAATGCAATACTTCAAAATTAAGTTCATATTGTTTTGCGAAACACAATCTAAAAGAAATATTGAACTAAAAAGAATAGATATTTGCACATATATTGCGTTCTTCGCCACAAACCGCAATGGAAATTCTTAGGAAACTACTTTGATTGTGTTTTGCATTTTAATTCACCATGAATTGAGCTAAAAGTTCTTCTGGCTGAAAGTTAATTTGTCGAATGAGCTCTCGATAAAAAAAATAGCGAAGTTTTGTGTTTTTATCATGAATCTATGTATACAATCTTTTCGACAAAATTTTGACAAATTAAACAAAAAATTAAAAGGGCTACATATTTTAATTCCAATTTAAAATGTTGCAATATTTTCTGATTCTTTTGACTTATATCGTTCACAGAATCAACATTTCATATTATTATTTGTTAAAAAGGTGGAATGTTAAGATCTTTAAAAAAACTTCATAAATGTTAAACTTTATTCTATGAAGTGAATGTATGTACACTTTCTGCAAACAAAAAATGGAACATCTTTGACTACGAGAGTTTATTATGTAAAATAGGTTACAGAGCTCCTAATGGGATGGGATGAGTTCCTAATCCCATGGGAAATGTGATTATTTTTTTAAAGAAAAATGATTATTCATTTATGTCACACTTGACAATAGGTGGAAAGTGAATATTATCATTCTTTTTCTGTACTGGTCATTAACCTAACTCCGAGCTCTATTCGAACAATTGAATAAAGAATACGATAAAACATAGAAAACAGAAATAAATATAAATGTTCTTTCTGTTTGAATGTTTTAATAAAATATCATCATCTTTTGTTTTATAAATTGTTCAATATCACCTTCTATAATTATTTCTTCCTCATTATCATCCTTAGTTTCGGATAAACAGGAATATTCAGTTGAGAAAGTCAAATTTCGTTTACAACATCACAAGCAGAATTAAAAGGTATTGATAATGATATTCCAACCAGGAATGCACCAATTTCTAGTACATGGTACGATAGATACAAATTTTGCCTAATGTAGGAGGCAGTCGTTCTCTGATTCCGTTCCATATATCAGCCAAGATCATCTTTTTCGATCTATGAAAAACTATGATCCAAATTTATTAGAGATGAAAAAGCGTTTTTGGATTTGACTTCCAATTTCAATTTTCAAGTCGTTTTCCGTCAAATTCTGCCAAATCCAATCTAGTTTCAAACTTTCAATTTGCATTACGCAAATTCTAAGAATAGATTTGAAAAAGCGCTCAAAACTGAACAGAAAAATATGAAGCAAGAAATGTTCAATCGATAATTCTCACTACTGGGCACGTCATTTTTCAGTAGGGAAAAGATCCAATCACGTCAATTTCTTGAATTTTTTATCCAATGTTTGCATGTTCTCAGCATTGGGAGTTATGGATTAAGCCTCTTTTCACTTCTTTTTTTCTGTTCGGTTTTGAACGTTCTTTTCAAATCTATTCTTAGAATTTGTGTAATGCAAACTGAAAGTCTGAAACTGAATTGGATTCGACCGAAAACGACTTGAAAATTCAAATTCTGAGTCAAATCCGAAAACGTTTTTTTAATCTTTCATAAATCTCGGCTATCGTTTTACACAGAGCAAAAAAATGGTCTTGACTGATATAAGGAATCAGAGTCCCGCTTTACTCTACATCAGGCAAAAATGTTATCTTTCTTGCAATGTACTAGGAATTGATGCATCCCTAATTCCAATATTCAAATCGGAATGCTGGAAAACTTCGAATTTTCAGTTACAAAAAAAAAGAAACCTTGATTTTCAGTAAGATTTTTCGTAATATAGCGAATCCCATGGGAGCCTATGGGATGGGATGGGACGACTTGCATTATCCCACGGGACGAAAATTTCGTCCCATCCCATCCCATTAGGAGCCCTGATAGGTTAGGTAAAATCAGAGCACTTGATTGAGACTCGATCATTGAAAATTTTTTAGTCAAAAAATGAACGTTTGATTGAATCAACAATTTCACAAATAGTTCTTCTGTAATAAATCATTGAGTATTAAATTAGATATTGTAATTTAATCCAATTGAACATAACAATTGCTACAGATATATATTATAAGAGAAAAAAAGTAAATGTAACTGAGTGACATCTATACAAGAAACATATGTATCGAATTCATCAATTGATTTTCTTTATGGCTGATCAATGAATGATTATAGAAAATTTGGTTAAACGACAATAAGTACAAGATAATATATATATAGATATATATATATATCGATTTGTTAATTTCCATGAATAATAATCAAATTGAGATTGATCTTAGTCAACTTCGAGTATAGTTTTAATTAATTATTATTCTAACAATAAACGTTTTTCTATCTATTTCAAAGGATCCATCAGGAATATTTGAATTGATCGAAGTTGTTGGAAATGGAACATATGGACAAGTTTATAAAGTTTGTTTTAGTAATTTAAATTCTCTTTTTTTCTATTTGTTTATATATTTCTTAGGGTCGCCATACTAAAACAGGTCAATTAGCTGCTATCAAAGTCATGGATGTTACAGAAGTCAGCTGTCATTTTTAATTATATTCTTTTGAAATATATATATATATATTTTTTTTTCTTTCTCTCAATAGGATGAAGAAGAAGAAATTAAATTAGAAGTTAATGTTTTGAAAAAAGTTTGTATTAAATATTTTATCTTAGTTAATAACTAATTAATATTTTCTTATTTTTTTTACTATTAAAGTATTCAAATCATCGAAATATTGCTATGTATTATGGGGCATTTATTAATAAATCTTTACCAGGAAGAAATGAACATGATCAATTATGGGTAATTAATTTTCTTATTAAAACATAAAAATTTATTTATTTAATTCAATAAAGTTGGTGATGGAATATTGTGGGGCTGGCTCAATAACCGATTTAGTTAAATCAAGTAAAGGAAATTCATTAAAAGAAGAATGGATTTCGTTTATCAGTAAAGAAATTTTAAATGGTTTAAATCATCTTCATTTAAATAAAATAATCCATAGAGATATTAAAGGACAAGTAATTATTATTTTATTTATTTATTAGAAATTATTTTATTTTATTTCAGAATGTTTTACTAACTGAAAATGCTGAAGTTAAATTAGTTGATTTTGGTGTATCCGCTCAACTTGATCGAACTATTGGAAGAAGAAATACTTTTATAGGAACACCTTATTGGTATTCTCTTAACTTTTATTGAATTTTAATTTTTTTTAAATTCAACTGTAGGATGGCACCTGAAGTTATTGCATGTGATGAAAATCCTCAAGCTACATATGACAATAGAGTAAGAAGACGAAAACGTTCACTAAAATTGACAATTAGAATTAAAAAAAAACATTTTATTTAGAGTGATATTTGGTCATTAGGAATAACAGCTATTGAAATGGCCGAAGGGCAACCACGTTAGTTTTCTTTTGTCTTTTTTTTCTAAATTAATATAAATCAAAATTTTTAGCATTATGTGAAATGCATCCAATGCGGGCACTATTTTTAATTCCACGAAATGTTGCACCACGATTAAAATCGAAATGGTTTCTTATATTTATTTAATAAAATAAAATAAAATAAATTCTTTTTTAGGTCAAAAAAATTTCATAATTTTGTCGAATCATGTCTTATAAAAGATTATTTAATTCGTCCAAATTGTGAACAACTATTAAAACATTCATTTATTCGAGATTGTCAAGAAAAACAAATAAAACTTCAAATAAAAGAATATTTGGATAAAACTAGAAAATTTCGTCGTTCATCAAATAATTCTCATCAACCAATTCATTCAGATATTCAACAAGATATTCAATCAAAATCAGATGAAGATGATCAAGATGATCAAGACGACGACGATGATGATGATAATGATGACGATGATAATAATAATAATAGTACTAATCATAATCATAATTTACATAATCAACAACAACAACAACAACAACTATTAAATGAAAATTTTACACAGAAAGAAAATAATTTAAATACTTTAAGACAAAATTTTAAATCGGTTCAGCACATCGCAACAAGTATTTTAATATTTATTTTTGAATACATAAATAAACTTTTTTTGTCATATTTAGATATGAAATCTGAAGATGATTCGTCCATTATCCATGTTGGATATCCATGCGTATCAAATGGAGCTATGCTTTTACCAAGAAAAGCTGATGTTCGTTTTATTTTATTTTTATAAGGCAACATGAATTTTCTTTTTCTGCTTAGGAATTAGTTGCTGTTGTTGAAAAATTAAATGAATTAGCTCGAAATGATTCTGATCAAGATGAACAAGCTGATATTGATGATTCATTGAAAGAAATCAATTGTACACAAGATGAATTTATTAATTTAAATAATCAAAAAAGAATTTTACCAGATCTTTTATCAAATCAACCAATGCATTTACTCGATCAAACTCAATCACATGAGGTTTGCCATTTCTTTTTCTTTTTTTCAATTTAATTTTATTATTTTTCTTAAAAAAAATAAAAGTATCGACAAGCTGTTTCAAATCTTGGTCAACGAACAACATCAATACTTTCTTCGCCAATTCAAAATCTAAATAAAGATTCAAATCAAAATAAACGAACTTCTCAAGTATATTTTTATGAACGAATATTATTATTTATTCATCTATTGATTATTGTCAAAATTTTAGATTGATGTAAATGTTAGTCCTCATGTTGATGAAACGAATGAATTAAAATTGCATGCACCTGAAATTCGAAAATATAAAAAAAGATTCAATTGTGATATATTGTGTGCTTCGTTATGGGGTTTGTTTACTTATTTATCAGAAATAAATATATTGATTGATTTTAAATAGGAGTTAATTTATTGATTGGAACAGAAAATGGTTTAATGTTACTAGATAGAAGTGGAGAAGGAAAAGTTTATTCATTAATAAAAGGTCGTCGTTTTCAACAATTACATGTTTTAGAATCTCAAAATATTCTTTTAACAATAAGTGGGAAAAAAAATAAAATTCGTCTTTATTATTTATCGTTTTTAAAAAATAAAATTGTTAAAAGTCAAACAAATGATGGGAAAAGACTTGCTTTTACAAACCTTGGAGAACTTCAAGGAGCAAAACATTTTAAAATTGGTTTGTCTTTTTTAAAATTTTATATTCAAAATGAAATCTCTGTTTCTTTTTCTGTGTTTTTTAGTTAAATATGAAAGAATTAAATTTTTAATTGTTGCATTAGATGATTCAATTGAAGTTTATGCATGGGCACCAAAACCTTATCATAAATTTATGACGTTTAAAGTTTTTTCTCAGTTAACTTATCGTCCATTATTAGTTGATTTAACCATTGAAGAAGGTTCACGTTTAAAAGTTATTTATGGCTCATCATATGGTTTTCATGCAATTGATCTTGATACATCGAATCAAATTGATATTTATTTATCTTCACAAGTTTGTTTCTTGTTTTTCATTTTCGTAAATAAAATAAAATTTATTTTAAGTTAAATGATTCAGTTCAACCTCATGCAATTATCGTTCTTCCAAATACAAATGGAATGCAGCTTCTTCTTTGTTATAATAGTAAGATTTATCTTTATGTGTTTTATTGTTTTAAATAAGGAATTATTTTTAGATGAAGGAGTTTATTGTGACACATATGGAAAACGAACAAAAGATATTTTATTACAATGGGGAGAATTACCCACTTCAGTTGGTTCGTTATTTATTTTAAATAAGTAAATAAAATTTTATTTTTATTTTAGCTTATATAAGTAATGGAAAAGTAATGGGTTGGGGAAATAAAGCTATTGAAATTCGAAATGTCGATTCAGCTACTTTAGATGGAGTTTTTATGCATAAACGAGCTCAAAAATTAAAGTAAATTATTTATTTTTATTTTTGATAATTAAACTTTTTAGTTTTTTTTCTTAAGATATTTATGTGAAAAGAATGAAAAAGTTTTTTTTTCATCAATACGAAATGGTTCATCATGTCAGATTTATTTTATGGCTTTGAATAAAATGAGTTCTTGGTAAAACGAAAAAATATTTTATTACTATGAAATCTCTGTGTTGGTTTTTTTTCTTTTTCTTTTGACAAAAAAAAACTAAACTAATATTTCTGTTCTATGTTCTTTTTAATCAATGTTTATTCAATCGATTTGAAATAAATTCATTATTTATATTGAAACCTTTTTTATCTCAATGAAAAGCATCAGATGAAATTTATTTTAACACATTTCATTTGATATTATTATTTGAATAAACAGAATCTTATCAAAAATACTTTTCTATAGAAATATGTGTTGTTTTCAATGAAGACTATACGTATCTATCAATATCAATTGATGCTTAACAAAAATACTCGAGAGCTTGCAGAGTTCTATAAACTTGGCCATATTATACATATAATAATATCAAATTTTTATAAAGTATTAAAATATAACAGCAAAATTTGATTTAGAATTTTAGTGGAACAACAGAATTTCATACCAACACGGATCATTGTCCTGTACATAGATTAACATAGATTCACAAAATTTTGCATTCTGTTTAGTAAGCACTCTGCAACCACTGTGTCGTGTCGTATACGGTAGAACACAGCGACTGTTTAGAAGCCGTATATGGCCGTATATACGACCGTAACAACATCGTAACCGACAGTTTATGACCGTAATTCTGAACAAACAGAAAAATACATTCATAGAGCCATCCGATCGATAGTGACCACACTACAGACATTAATTCTATTACATTTCCATAGAAATCACTAAAAAAATTGCAAGCAGCCAAAAAAACCTACTCCAAATCACACCCAGGTCGACTGATCCGACATCGGATCCAATAGGAACCTGGAAAGATCCTACAATCTGATATAATTCTATTGGATTCCGGGTCGAGGAATCGATGTCGGAATCCTATGAACTTTCGATGACATACAACGGTTTTTCCTTGGAATTCATCGGACTCCGACATCGATTCCTCGACCCGGAATGCAACGATACTTCTGTAAGATGTGGCAGGATCCGATAAAATCCTATTGGATTCCAGTCGGATCGGATGGATTCCGATAGGTGCCCACTGTTGGATTGCTCGACCTGGGATCTTCATGACATTTCCAATGTTTATTTTGGTATTCATGTTAAAAATAATTATCCAATTTTCTTTGATGTTTGGATCAACACTATTCAATTGAATTTAATTGCAATTAATTAAATATTTGTTAGCTCTCATCATTCACTTAATTAAAACAAAACTCTTCCGAAAAATCCGATTGAAAGAAAATATCTAAAGAAGCAAGATTTTCATTTAAATCCAAAAAACATCATTCAATAGGATTTCTTTTTCTATTGATTTAAATTTGTTATTTGAACATAAGAAAATCTTTTCCAATTTTTCAGCACCGAACATTGACGGATATATTTATTAAAAAAAAAGAAATTCTCGCGATCAATGATCTTCATCTCTGTATCTTTTTTCATAGTTTCATCTCTGATTTTTCTCAATTGAATTCTCATTTGATCTTTTTTCTATATTATTTATTCAAGAGGAAAAAGTAATCAAATCGAAATCCCAATTGAAAAGCACATCGAAACGAAACTCATTCAATTGACGACGAGACTATTCTTAATAACCTCTCTCGTTTTCTATCGAAGATGAAGAATTCTATTGTTCAAGAAAGAACTCATTTGTCTAATCTTTTCTGACAGACCTCCCATTGATTCTTTTAAAAATACTACGCTAGATATTTATAATTACAAGAAAATAGATAAAAACGACAAAAGAGGTAAAAATAAAGATGCTTCTTTCTCTCTGTTTTAGATAAGAGATAATGAGTAGAATAAATATAATGATTCCTCTTATTTATAAAGCATGTGAACTAAAAGAGGGTGTGCCGAGAACGAAGGTAAATATATATAAAAGACAGTCCTTCGATTCGATCCTAATAACTGTGATGAGCTCTCCGTTGGGTTCTATCTCAATTGGATCCCGTTTGATTATTTTTCGTCGAGATTCGTATAGTATTAATTACGGAAATTCATGATTATATTTAATAGAGAAGAGAGTAACAAGATAAATGCAAAATCAATCAACAAATCCAACATATAGACATCGATATTAATTTTAAATCTTTTTATTTTATTTCTGAACTTGTCACATATTAATTATTATTTATGTTTAGTATTCAATAAATGAATGTTATCAATGAAGAATTATGCGTCTTTTAGTTTAAATCAGATTATGAATTCTTTGTACATTTAAATAACTAATAATATAAAAATAACTGTTGCTGGTTTATAATACTGTTTCCCGCATAAATCACGAATGAATTAAGATGAGGACTCAATTGTGAGATCGTCACATTAATTAGGACCGAATCAGGATAGGATCTGAAAAAGTAAATGAATAGAAATTTTTGTTGATTGATAGTCATATGATAAACACTAAATAAAAGATATAAAAACCAATAAGAATAAAATACCTTTGAAAATATCAATATGTTAATGGTTGTCTTAGATTGAATAAAATAAATAAAGCGAACTGTTTTTTTTTGCTTTATCAAATTGATAAATTTTAATTTTTAGAATCCTTGTTAAAGTCAAATCTTCTAGTAGATTTCATTGACAAAAAAACAATAAGCTTTATTTTCGTAGATAGATTTAAACAATTTCAGATGACATTGAATATATGAATATTTATTTATTCTCATATATCTATTGATAATTTAAATAATAAAACGATAATTCGATTACGTAAACTAACTTTTATTCTAAACTTATTTGAATTATTTTTCAGAATAAAATATTTTTATAGAGCTTTATTTAAACATAGACTACTCAAATTTCTTCTTAGAGTTAAACAGATTTATTGAATTAGTATATTATTTTTCTCCATTTTCAATTGAACTTTAAAGAAGAAGATTTTTTCGTATAGAACAAGATTTTTAGGAAAAGAAGCAAGTTAAACAATCGATTGTGCAACTTTTTTTATTATTTATTTTGACTTGGTAGATAAAAAATATATTTAATTCTATGTTAGCGTTTTCATATTTTGATGTTATTTTCACATAGATCAATTATTTCCATATTAATCGAATCAATTCAATGAGAAAACTATTTGTTTTACACTTCTTTGTTTGACTTTAATGAGTTTCATGTTTCTTAAACTAAAAAATGGCGATAAACTTTTTTCTCTTTCTTTTCATCTTGTTCAGAAAATGATATAACGAATAAAATCAATAACAAATATATATTCGAAAGATTAATGTTCTTTGAATATGAACTATCATCATAATTTTTTGATGAATAATGATCTGAATCGAACAATAATTAGATTTGTATAATATTTGAAAATTAAGACAATCTTCTTGTAACTTTATTATACCAACGAATAAATTTGTTTGTATCATAGAAGAACTTTAATTGATTATGAAATCGATTTTGTAAATGTATGATATTATTAACATTTCTTAAATTAATATTTAAATTAACTCAAAAATAATACATTCTCTTCGTTAAAAACTTTTCATATTCAGAATAAATCAATGTAACACTATTATTTTATTTCTATTTTGTTCTATAAGAACGAATCTATTCTAATGTAAATCTAGAGCTACAGAGATTACTGAGAGATAAAGCGAACGCTTCTTTTGTTTTTCCTAATATATCTCGAATAAAACATTCTACGAAAAGAGTTATTTCATTTTTCAGATTTACTCTATAATTAATGATTATAGTTGATTTTATGCTAGTGAAGTTTTTTTCATGAAATTTGAATATAACTCAAAATAACGATTGACCAAGTAACTTTTCCTATTGATAATGCGAATATGTGTGTAACAATACTTCTTACTACTTAGAGATTTTCTTAATAGATAACTTGTTGTTTCTTCCATAGCTGTATTAAATATAATTTCAGTTCTTGTTCCTAATGAAACCTAGATTTACTATTCAATTATCTAAAGTTTGTAAAATTTTTCCTGAATAAAATTTTCATCAGTCAATGTCAATGTCGTGTTCAATTGAACTACTATGATAAACGTAACAGTTTTCATAGGACTTACGAGGGAACTTTGTCAGGTGCCCCTCGTCGATTTCAATGCAACTTCGTCCATAGATACCATATAGTGCCCTCGTAAAAACCCTAAAAGGGTTTGAGAACTGATCACTTTCTGCAAAAGTTATGGTTGTCGTCATTTTTGCCTTGATACAGCAAAATATAAAACATTAAGAACCATAATTCTATGAAAACACAATACAAAATTTTGAATTTGTTCCTTGGCGGAGGTGAGCTTGACATGGTAGTCTATTGAATTTTTCATTGTCACAATTTCGTTTTCTGAAGAAAAGCCATAGCACACTATTTTACATAAAGAACATTTTTTCTGCTCTCATCGATTACCATGTGTCTACACTGATAAGTTTTGTACAAATACATTCGAATAAATTCTCCACGTGCTTATTTTCTCGTTGTATTTAAAAAAAGAACATTTTTGAGCAAGAGGTGCGCATGGACAGGGAAGAGACATCCGTACCTCGGACGATTACGTATTCATTTAATATTATTGAAAAAATGAAATTTTATCTAAGATTTGTTAGTTTAAAATATTGAAATAATCTATTTCATCGTTAATCTAGAATTCTATTAAATAAATATTTTCTTTGATTTTTATTTCAAAGATTAAAATAAAATAATTTATTTTTTTTGTTGTTCGTTGGAAAAATGTATTTATGAGAATGAACATTTTATTTGTTTAATTCAAATGTTTTGAGAAATTTCTCGTGATTGTTTTGTCTAATTTAGTCAATTTATCTCTAGTCTATGTCTTTTTTCTTTATTTCTTAATATTCAAATAAAACTAAGTAGTATTTGAATAAATAGAAAAAGAAATTGAATTATTTATATAATATCTAGAAAGAGAAAGAATTCTCGTGTCTATTATATAAATGATATTAATCTATAAGAAATTTGTCAAGTGCCAAATAGATTTAAATTGTGTCAAAATAAATAAATATTCCCTAAAGGATAATAGATTA